GCAGCCCCCGCAGCTCCTCGGGCAGCGCCTCTGGCTCCAGCCCGGCCAGCAGGAACCTGGTGCCCCTGCCTGCCGCGAGGGAGCCAGGCGGCTGCTCCGGCACGCTGCCGCAGCCAGGGCACACGCTGACGGATGCGCTTGCTCCCGAGAGGCCTCTAGTTCTTCTCATTCCCATTGGAAGTGTCCCCGAAGGCTAAGAAACTGGTTTTGCTGAGGAATCATCCCTTTTCCAGTCTGCCTGCCGCGCCAGTTCTGGGCAGAGGCGAGAAGAGTTCTGCTGCCTTGCCCATCCGCCTGCCCCCCCCGGCGATGTGCACCCCATCCCTACTTCTCAGGCGCAGAGGAGGAAAACGGCTCCAGGGAGGCCACGCACAGACATCTCATCTCTCGTCACCGCATCGCCAGGCACCAGCAGCGCCCGCTCAGCACCACCGAGCCACCACCAGCATCCAAGGCTGCTTTCGGTTTCCTCTCCCCCGCCACGCCACATACTCCTGATGCGGATGCACTGGAGGACCGAGCTCCTTCGGGCTCCTGCAGCTGCGGGAAGGCCAACCAAAAGCGATTAAGCCCTACCCTTGGAGGGCTCTCGTGCCCGCGGCCCCCAGCGCTCGCCCCCAGCGCCCCTCTCCCCCAGCCTGAAGCCGCCCTCCCTGTAAGAGGATTGGGCTCTGGTGCCTTTCCACCCACCGCAGAACGAGAAGCGTTTCGCCTGACGCCCTTCGCTCCTGTGCACAAATCCGGGGGCAGCTGATGTATTTCTATCCACTTACTGTCACGATCGGTTCTGCAAATCTAAACCCACTGAGGTGAAGGTGGTCCGGGGCGCGAGTGCACGTGCAGGTATTACAAAGCACCAGGAAATACTGCAGAATGCGATTTCACCCGCTTTATACCCCCCCTTTCTGGGCCAGATGCAGCCGACGGACCGAGTTACCCCGGTCCAACCTCTGCTCGGAACAGAAAATGTCGTTCTCCGATTTATACTCATGCATAATTAAACCCCAACTAATTATAAGCTCAGTTGCAACAAAATTGCCAAGTCTTGTTATCAAAAATACTTCAACTGCAGTCAGAATGCAGGTAAACCTCACGAGCAGGGATGCCACGTAGCTCGCTGCCTAGAGGAGTGAATTTATCGGAATGAAGTAACCGCCCGCCGCTCGGTAACGAGCACCGGTACCTGCTGCGCGCGCCGCCCGGGCTGTGGCCGAAACGGGGCGCCTCTAGGAAGCCAGTACCCGTTTTTTCTTCAAATAATTCCAGAGCTATTGGAAAAGTCAGGCATGTATTTTTAACTACATCCCACTGCTCCCAAAGGCACGGGGGGAAGGCAGGCTGAGGGCAGGCTGCAGGCAGGCAGACCAGGGGAGAAGGCAGGCTGAGGGCAGGCAGGCA